GACACTGGAAAAGTTTTGTGATGAAAATTCCCTTAAAGAATATTATATCAGCTACTACTGATGGTGTTCCAGCTATGACAGCGTATCAAAAAGGCTTCATAGCGTACTTAAAGAACAAAATTCCAGATGTGCTTGCTGTACATTGCGTTATACATCGACAACATGTGGTTGCTAGAAAGAGCAATGGCAGACTTTCATACATAAAATTAGTTGAGAAGAAATGGTAGCGTCTATATATCAAAAATATCTTAAAATGTAAAGCGTCAGTCCCTTAATAACTCTGTCAAAGAAGTTTGTCCTGAGGAGGCGTTAAAAAAAGATATTTTCATTTGAACCTTTTTAGGTTATGTCCTATGTCACTTCGAAAAAGTCATGCTTCCTGTGATTGTTTGATGTTAGCTTAATACATAATACATAATTGAGAGATTTTAGATTATTGTATCTCTATTATATATTTACATACTATAATTATGTATATTTTTGGCATGGCTCCAGGGCCTTTGTATCATAGTGACATTCTCAGAAGGGCTAGAACCCAGAGCCGTAAAGCCAGTAAAAAAACAGTGACATTATGTTTTAGCTAGTTGTTACGGCCTACGGCTGCTCCCTTAAAGGGTCAAATCCTCAGGGGCCCATGAGCTGAAGACTTCCCGAGCAGACGTATGTCGGGCCTCAATGTGGCCACGTGGAATCTCTCTAATTACACTAAATATTTGGGGGATCGTTCTATACTACGGCCAGTCAACCGGCAGAGGAATTAGGCGAAGCTTACTTACCTATATCCAAGGCGACTGGTCCCTCCGGAGTCGGTCAGGTCACATGTGGTTGTGGAGTGAAAGGGAAAGAAGGTGATGTGATGTGTATCTGGGTGTGACTGCGGGTGATTTAACCTAGACCTTGGCCGTCGGCAGCAGCCCGAGCGTCGACACCGCTCCAACTTGAGGGGGCCTTCCGAGGCGTTGTCCAAAATGCTGCACCGCTTCAGACTGCTTCGGCGCCGGACCACAGTCACTTTCCTCGTTCGTCACGATGACAGTCAATTAACTCTATCGTACGATTAACTAACTTACAGAAGCCACTAACTATCGCTGGGTATAAGGTTAACGCACAAAACGCACACCGAGTTTCTGGATCATAGGTCACTACCGTTTCGCGTTGCAACAATTAGTTCTAGAATATCAAAGGCCGCACTAGCTAATATTGTCGAATGCACTTATACAGATTCTGAGTCGGACCCACTAAGACCCGGGAAAGGCTATCCAAACAGGAAATGCGCGTTATAAATCCTAGACGGGATATTTATTAGACGCCCTAACTATTCCGCGGTTCCCGCACAAAAATGACAGCGTGCTGTTCCAAGCACAGCTGGCAGACGACTCTGCCTTTTCGCTCGCGACCCGCGCTCGAGCGACGTCAAAACCGGTATGAAAGCACAGCGCCAAACGCCCTCTCGCGTTAATTCTTGAAATTAGCGCTTGGCGCGAACACTAGTGTTGGCATAACATTAAATGGAATTGTTACATAGTACTGTGATTGAAATAATGTTTATTGTAGGAAATTCTTTGTAAGCGACTTATTCTCAGCCATATCTCTTTTATTTTTATTATTACTGATAGTACAGTTATTACTAATAATAACTTAATACAAATTGTTAACCGAGGGATTTCCGATTAAATAAATAAATAAAAATATTTTGTGTGTTGTGTTGGTAGTATTACAAAGTATATATGAAAATAGTATGAATATACTAAATGGCAACACTTGCACAGAGTAAAATGATTTAAGTGGGAGTTTTGGCGGGAAATTGACCGGCGGCGGTTTGCTGCTCCTGTATAATGGTTTGAAGTGGACTTTGATATGTAAAAGTGTTGCGATTTTGTGTATTAAGTGTCTACGCATGTGAACTATTAGTGGAAACAGTGAAACAAGTGCTCTGATGGTGATGGATTCTCAAGATAAGCTGTTTGTTTGCATAGGCACCTTTAGATACCATCGCCAACTATCAGCTGTGTGCTGGATCAAGTTGCCGCCAAAATCTCCCAAGAACTGCACAATGTGACGCATCAACATATTGTGAAGCAGTATACTATGAAGGAGTGGGGAAATTACAATAAACCGAATAAAAATACTTAAGACTTGGCCTAAAGGTCTAGATACCAGGCCATAGACTCCAAAAAAAAATGATTTAAGTAATTTGATATTCCCAAAAACGTTTGTTTTTTTGTGTGGCTTTAATTAAAATACATTTTTATTTGAAAAATCATAGAAAAATAATAAAACTCATTTTATATATAACTTATTTTTAGACGCGATAATTTTTGGCAACTATTTTTCTGCCATTGCTCTTTCAGTGAAATTGTTCACTTAAATTTCAATCACTGCAACATGTCATCTGAGCAGTCAATAAAATGTGAAAGAACTCTTTAAATGACAGATTATTTAATCTGCGTTATGTTACTAATGACGAAGATTTCAACGGATTGATCTTTCACACAGAAGTGCGTTCAAAAGCTATCAAAAGAAAATTGTCTGACACGATTTTAGAATCTGTTTGGCTCTATCATATATTTCTTGAAAAACAAAGACACAGAATTGCACGACAACGTCTTCACATCAAAGAATGATATTGCGTATCTGACAGACCTTTATAAATTGCTCAATGATATGAATCTCCAACTTCAAGGCGATGGCTTGATTTTAATAAAAACAAAAAATGTCGTCACTGCTTTCTTAGCAAAGCTGTTCTTACGCAAGCAGAATATTAGCAGACGTTAGTTCTATAATTTTCCCAATTTATCAGTATCCTGCAACAACGACGACTTGCTTGTCAATTACCAACATTTGGAAAATCTCCACAGTGATTTCATTGAAAGATTCCAGGACATTTTGAAATTGGAAATACCAGGCTGGGTGTTAGATCCTTTTTCAAATGTCAACATTGCTATGTTGACATTTGAAAAAGGATCTAACACTCGAACAAGGATCCGGTTGGGGTGATACTGCTGTATCACCCAAACTGGAAGAAGAACTTATAGGACTAACAACGAACGAGGAAAGAAATTCAAAAATGGCTACCAAAGATTTTTGGCTACAAAAGTCAATCCTGCAGTTGTACCCTGGAGTGTGGTCGATCGTTCAACGATTTTTCATAGTATTCCTATCTTCATATTTGTGGGATTTAGCGCTATGACAACGCTGCTCACTAAAAAAATAAAACGTTTGCATGTTACCGAACGCGACGACTTACGACTGTTTTTGAGTAAAATCGAACCTGATATCAACAAACTTGTTAAAAATCATCAAATTCATCCGTCTCATTAGATTAGTTTTAAAACTAAAATTGATTACCTATTTATATTGTTTCTTTTAATTTAATTAAAATATATTCGTAATATTATAAAGTTGCGTTTTAATTGCTGTCACTGGTAATAATGTTTAGTTTAGAATGTAATTTTAAACACCGGAACCGACTGATATAGCACACCATAACTAAATTAGTTAAAGTAATGAAATTGTGGTTTTTAAGTTTTAGGAGTGTATATAAAATTGTTGGCGCTGAAAAATAATTGATTTTCAAAGGGGGCGGTAAAGAAAATAAGTTTGATAATCTCTGATATATGTCCACCTTAATCAGTGTCTGATGACGTGAAAATCTATCAAATAATTGTAAATGTGTTGCATAATATAATATGTAGAAGTTTGTGAACAAATTATTGTAAAGAATATTATAGAGTTTAAAAATAATCATTATTTACTGGCAATTATCCTAATAGTATGAGTCCGGTATGAAATAAAATACCAGTTGGCCACATTGTTGTAAAATTGACGTCGCATTCCTTGCCATAACAAAAGAGCTACCAAATATTTATTTTTGGAGATTTTTTATAAACAATAATAATTTGTTTTAGACTGAATCCATAGACTAATAAATTATGTAATGCAGTATGAAACTAAAAATTAATTGGTTTTGGTGTAAAAACGTGTATTCAAATGAATGATATTGATTTCCTTATTTTCATTAAGTATGTAGTAGCAAAGATGTAGTCTATCATTTCTAAGAATAATGTAATTTATTTGATTATTACATAATTTTTAAGTCACTATGCTGTGGTGGCATGCGGGATCAGTAGTAGGTACATCCTGGTAGAGTTTTTATTTGTTCGTTAGTTAGTGATTAGAGCAGCTTATGAATTCACTTAATATAACTTGTTCAGAAAATATCGTTTATGCAGCTTACATTTTTTTCACGGATGGATACAACGCTGTTCTACATATAATACAATGTTGAATGTTGAACTTCATGTTATCTACGAATCTATCTTAGAATGTTAGTGCTACTAAAACAATTTTCTCTGATTTTTATCCCGTCCCGGAATTCAAACCCAGGACCGACCCACCACTTGACCGACAATAGAATGAGCTGAATGAGGCAGTCAAAACAATAAATGTATATAATAATATAATCAGATATAACACATTTCATATTCATTCATATCATAATATTATAAAATAAATTTCGTTAGTAGTTTAATCTAAGTTAATAGTAGTAATTACGTCCGGTAATATGGCAACTGCAATTTGTTATACCGTGTGGTAATTTGTAGCGTATTGCCGTACGTCGTCAATAACTCGCTACAAACCCGGGGCGTGTTCTCAGCAACTCGTAAAATTGAAATAAACTAACCGGCTAACTTTGCTAGGAACATCTATGAGCGGTTGTATCCTCTCTTTGATATCGTTAAATTGAAATGCGTGCATTCTTTCTTGTAGTCACACCCCTGTGAACTTGCGTTTCTGCCGTTACGGCCCTGTTTCCGTCGCGTGGAGTGTTACAGAGATCGGTGACTGAGCTAATGTTGTGTAGTGTTGAATTCAGTGTAAGATCACGCGTAGTACATTGATGGGCTGCATTGCGTTGAGAGAAAAGGCGGCAGAGAGGCCGCACCGGCGGGCACTTGCTTCCTGGAAGGTCTACATTAAAATCCGTCACACTGGAACTGATGGAATTGGAGAATATTGTTGCGAACACTGTATACTTGAAAGCGAGAGAGGGTACGTAGCTTAAAATTATAATACTTAAAAGTTATTTTAAAAATATTGTCGATAATTTATATTCAAAAAAATGGTGTGCAAGCGTTAAGCGCGAATGGTTTGTAAACAGCGGGTGATTGACCTAATTGTGACTGTTATTTATTTCTTTATCGGCCTGACGAAATATAAAACATGTTTCTTTATAAATCTTTCAATATTGATGTTTTTATCATACCTGGTCAACATCTACATTGTAATAAAACATTGATTTGAAAGGCTATGCAGTTTGCAATAAGTTTTCTGTACATAAGATGTGATTTAGACAAACTCTTCTCAAGCATAAACCTATACAAGCTTTTATAAAGTTAAAAAGGGAACAATGTCAGTCATTAATGTTGCAGCTTGTCTTGTGATAACAGCTTACAATAAATTGCCTCAATTAAGTCTTGAGCCAACTTATAAATTACTTACATATTTATTCAGACTGTTATTCCATCTCATAGAGGGTCTCTTAATTTAGAAGGATGTTATTGTATTATTGATTTTGTCATCTGTTATACAAAATTTGTTATGTGTTGCATCTATTTCTTGACATGATTAAACAGATAGATAAGAAAATCTAGTTATAATTAAAGTTTTCCAAGAGAATTCTGACTTCAAATATTTGATCATTACTGTACCTCTAATAATGTTTGATTTAAAATTAAACCTATATATTTACATACCTTTATATACCATTAAAAAGTAAATTAAATTGTGCCTTTTGGAGTAATTTTTTTTTATATTTTTATGTATTTTGTGCTGGGTGGATATAGTAAATAGGCAAGTTAATATTTGTGTTATACTATTCCTAGTTCTATACATTATCCAATTATTCCATTTATCCTGTTATATTATTTTCCTTTATTTAATTTTACATTTGAATTAAAGACTACTCATGAAACAATATTATTTGTTCTATATTTCTAGTGCCATTTTCTGTGTCTTATAAAGTTTTTAATTTAGGAAAACAACATATAAATATTGTGTTACAGTTAAATATTTGTTTTACACATAATCCATGAAAAAGTCATGAAAAACTTATAAAATATTACTAACTAGCGATACGCCCCGTCTTCGCACGGGTGATTTCTGGATCTCAACAACATCGCCACGTGCCGGGTCCAATTATAAATTTAAACCATTCAGAGACCCATTCAAACGTAGGTAGTTCAATAAAATTCTCGGGCTTGAGCAACAGCACAAACAACGGTACAGGTATGGTGCCTGTGACTCAACACTTTTTGAATACTAACTTCAATATGCCCATAGAGCAATCTCGATCTAAGTGATTGTAATAGGATCAAAACTTGTAAGTTACATTGTAATGGTTAACATATGTTAAGTAAATGTTCATAGTTTCTTAATCTTTCTCCACAAGATAGATATTCATTTGTGTAAAATAAAAACATTCTGTAAAACTAGGGTAGATTAGAATGCAGTGTCTACAAGGTAACAATCACAATGCAGAGTGATCTACAAACTGATCTAAACTTGCTATAAATGAATTGACAACCTTTACAAAATATGAGTGTTAGTTACTTGAATAAATGAATTCTTCTTCTTTCTTATTGACAACACATACATTTTTTTTTAAATAAAATACTAGTAATGCTATTAAACATTACTAATATTTCCTTTAACCACTTCTGGAAAGCTTAAAATGCTTGTGTTAGAAGTGGTTTACGACAGTAGTTGAATATCTGATTCGAACCCACAAACTTTCGAGGTTGCGGTCTGCGCCCTACCATTAGGCTACTGATGCTTACATCATTCGCTTGACTGGTGGACTGTGTGCTTGTTTGTCACCCTAATTGCTATAAAAAATTCATATGAGTTGTAAGGATTCACCACAAAGCGTATGTCCAACTGGGGGCATAATAAATCTGGTCTACCTAACTGGTGGACAAACCAGAAATGTTAGCATATTCATAGCACACAAGTTTACCATGCAGTAAAATATAATAATAAAGAAAGGCTTATCTAATTTTCTTAACAACCCTTTTATCTCATTTCTATGGCTGGCATTACGTAAAGCACTTAAGATAAAAGTCCACATACATCCTGCATTCAACTATAATTGATAAAAATAACATCTTGACATATCTTTAAAGGATATTGAACTTACATATTTTTAATTGCTGAGTTGAGGGGCCTGCAGTTGCCTTATATTTATTACAAACTGATATTTTGTACAAATAGATATATGAAAATTTGTTATCTATATCAAGAAAACTACATTGAAACTCTATTTAGATACCACTCTGGTAGTAATTAGGCATTGTCTGTTTTGCATCTAAGTACTTACTGTAGTAATCAATGATTAATAATAGGATATTTTGTTACGGTGCATACACATGATATAACATAATATGTTATATAACATGTTTCAGTAATGTGGAGGCTGAATGTTATAAAACACATGTCATATAACTTGAACGGCAGAACGTCAAACGACAATGTCATATAACATTGTTATATTGCATTGTTATTCTAATGTGTACAGTATTGCTATATGTTGCAATGTTGAAAAAAATGTTACATAATGTGGATTTGTTATATAACAAATGTTACACAACATGTTACTTTATCTGTACGCACCCTTAGACAATCCTATAGTTATTTACAAATGAAAGTAACATATTTTCAAAATATTGTAAGCATGTTTTGTCCTTGCTCGATCCAAACCAATTTTGCTGCAATCATATTATGTTGTAGTATGCCTCTACCTTGTATCTAAATTATTTTTTTTATAGAATAAGAGTAACAAATCACATTTGTTCACTGGTACGTAGACACTTCACTAATCAATACGTTCAGCTTTGGAAAAATCTAGTAGACTGTAGACAAGCTGGGGAGGCCCTGCCTGAAATAAACAGTCGCTTAACCAAAGTTTTAATGAGACTGAACAAGCTGCAGATCAGGATAGTAACAAGTGCCATCACAGGACATGGCACCTTTAACAAACATTTATTTACTATTGGTGTTACAGATAGTCCCCTGTGTAGGGCATGTATGGGGGAGGAAGAAACGGTGGCCCACGTGCTACTGAAATGTCCGGAGGTCGTTACGTACAGGGCTAAACATCTCGGCACGCCGAGATCACTCCCCGAAGTTGCATGCAACATCAAAGTATTGTTGAGCTTCTTTGGAGAGATCTCATGGCTCGAATAATCACATTATTCCTGCCCACATGCAAAATACGCGGATAGACGTGGAGTTGCGGAAAACAGCCCGTCGTAAACTAAACTAAACTAAACTAAGGGTAACGAATGAGCACACAGTCCACCCCATAGTAAGTGGATGCTATGGCACATAGACATCTACATTAATCCTTGATTAAATATCAAAATGCAGATGCATTGTCACCCCTGTGGACCAAGATGGAATGCCTCATTTTCAGTAAAAAGGTTCTCCAGTTCTCTACACTCTCCATACGAAACAGCAGCATTAAGCTGGTATTCTGTGAGAGCGTGGTCCTTCCCCGGCTGAGCCGACCCATTCATTCTACAACCATAATACAGCTGCAGTGTGGCTCTACCACTTATTATGTTAATTTTATGTGTGTGTTATAATGTTATATAGTATTATATGATATATAACACACCCATCTCTGGCACATAGGTCGTTTACTTATACAATTCAATAGAAGATATTAGAAGAAAATTGTTGCAATTGTTACATTTTTCATTTTCATTTCATTGTGTTTATGAGTGGCAGCCTCATAAGGACAACTGGATTGTAGGGTGGCCTGTTTTTAGATGGAGTGACAACCTGGTGGAGATGCAGGTGGGTCAGGACCGTGCTTTTTAACATTCCTTGGGACCCAATGTTCAGTATTGGACTATTGATTATGATGATGACCATCATCATATCATAGCAAAACTGCAAAAAATACACTATTTTGTGGTAAAACATTATTAGTAAATATATGGGATATTAATAATCTTTATCTCCCACTACACTGTTTTTATTACTACTTTTATTTACATTAATTGGGTAATAAATCTTAAGTTATGATTTATGATATGAGAGCACTTACCTACTTGTGGGTTATTTGATAATTAACATACCATATTTAGATTAGTGTATTTCATTTTTACTGTGTGTGAATCAAAACTTGTGTTGCTCAATTGAATTTAATGATACCTAACATTGTGTATTTGTTAATTTCAAAGTACATGAGTGACTCGAGTTCGATTCCGGGCGCCATCTGTGAAATTGTTAATTTCAATTTTCCAATCCTGATGTAGCATGCGCTCGGTGTAAACATCGTGAAACGTGCATGTCGGAGAGGTTAAAAACATATTTTGAGATTATTTGGAGCCCGCCAATATGCGCTGGAGCAGTGTGGCGATCTTGCTGCTCTACAGCCTTTTCAGAAGGCTCTGTGCCCAGCCGTGAAACGTATATAAGCTAAAACATTAAACTTTTTGAAGTGTATAAGTAACGTTTTTTTTTAAATATGAAAAAAAAACTTTTTTTAATATATTTTTTAAAAACGTTACCCCCACTAGGATTTTCCTGTTACGTGGAGGTAGTTTACAAACACAAATTGCTCAAGGACAAATATTCAGACCCGGGAAAATTATTTGTAGGCCATACAAATACTTCTTCCGTGCGGGATTCGAACCCGCGGCCCCCAGCGCAACAACTCATTGCTAAGATGCTAAGTCACTGCGCCACGGAGCGGGCATTTTTGAAGTGAAAACTTTTTTAGGATAGTTGTGATTTGAAACTCGAATGAAAAAGCGACACTAAAAAGAGACAAACATATACATCTGTAGGCTTTAGCCTGCGAGAGAATGAGATAGAATACAGTGTACAACGTTTTCTATCATCTCTGTCTTCTGAAGGTTTCACTTCTGCCGCGTGCGAACTGCACATATGTTTTTTTTTATTTGGTAGGGTGTGTGATTTGTGTGTTACATCTATACTAATATAATAAAGCGGAAGAGTTTTTTTGTTTTTTTTGTTTGTTT